GGGTTTTTGGTGCCATTAGTTTTGGAGGTATTTGACGGGGCCAACAGGGCCCGGGAAGGGGCGCCAAAATTTTTTGAAAAAACCCCCGGAACCCAACCGCACCTTTTGGCAGGGGGGGGCCCCCCCGGCCCCCCCAAGGAAGGCCGGAGGGGGGGGCCAAAAAACAATGGGCCCCCCCCCCCCCCCACCCCCCCCTCGGTGATCGGTCCTGTGGGAACGATGGTCTGTCCTCTGGACGACGCGTGGTCAATAAATAGTCTAACAACTTCAAGGAATGCAAACATGAGTACTGTATGCCCATTCCCCCTGGTTGGCTGCTAACGCCCTGCTCGAATGTCGCGCCAGTCAGCAGGAAACCGGTGTTTCCTGACGACAAAAGCCATGAAATCTCATAGGCGGTTTACAAACAGCCAGGGGGACCGAGAAACCGACGTGGTCGTTGTGCTGTGCGATGGGCCCCTGCTGCCCCGGCAGCGTTCAAAGAACTTCCCGTTGTCGGATACCCTTCGTCCCTCCCGCAGGACCATGCACTGTCTCTTGACTGCTGTGCTGCATCGACCCACGACTATGATGCGTTTTTTTTTTTTTTTTTCTTCTGCACCGGAGACACGAGATGTGCTATCGCCCACGCGCGAGAGAGGGCATATCGGTTGCCATCTCCACAAGGACTGCCTAAAGCGAATCAATCACTGCGTGCCTGAACCAGCCGCCTAGCCACACATGCTACAAAAGCACGCTTCGCAGTGTTAAGAGTCTCGACCATGTGGTCCTTCCCGTCCGCACACCTGACCCATATGAACAATTCTTGAAGGCGGGCGGGGCCGTTTTCTCCCGAGGGGGATGCCTGATGCAGCCTTCCGGGACGTGGAGCGTCTCATCCCCCCCCCCCCCCTTCCATCTCGCAGAACTCCCACCTGAACGAGCGCGGATCTATCACCTCCTTCAGCGGAGAAAACGAAACCATGACGTCACGAGGAAAACGCCCCCCCCGTTCCATGGTACGGTTCTACCTTCGTTCATTCGCCCCGGCAATTTTGCTAGAAACAAAAGTCACGCTTTACATCGTCCAAAGCGATCCCGTGGCGAGGAAACAAAGAGTCGATTGTTTTCTCCGCATAATCCGTGTAGGGAAAACAAAAATGTATGCATACAAAGAGACAAGAATCGTGGTATTACGCTAGCGCCTCGCCCATTTGTCGCAACGCGTACGCCCCGAGGGAAGCCAGCATCGGGTCGTCCTGCACCCCGGTTCCCCTGTCCGTCGTGACGCCTCCCAAGAGAAGGACCGCGTAGAACGCCACGCCGCAGATGGTGATCATGATGGGGAAAGTGATGAGCTGTGTTTTTTGTTTACCATCAGGCCCACCGCAAGACAAGGGAGCGGACAACGCAAGGGGGTTAGAGATCGAACGTTGCTCACTTGCACAGCAGTACAGAGGAACATCTCCTTGGCGAGGGGTAGGGGCTAGAGGGATCAATCACCGGGTCACTGGGTCAAGCGCGTGGGTGATGTTGGAGCACGTGATGTTGCGTTGCGGGTGTTTGTTCCGGGGAAGCGTCGGCAGCGGAGACGTTTCGTGTTGCCAACAACCCGCGAGCGGCAGCAAAGCAGCTGCAAAGCAGTAGCGGCATCATCATCATCATCATCATCATCATCATCATCAGCAGCAGCAGCAGCAGCAGCAGCAGCGCCAGCTCCAGCACATGCACCAGCGAAGGAAACACAGGCACCGACTGCCGGAATCCAACTCGTTGTCCCAGTGAAAACAAAAAAACAACGACCACCGCCACCAAACAAAGGGCAACAGCAACACGAACCCAACGCTGCCGTACACCAACATGAACGACAGCAACGGAGATGACGACGAAAAGAAGACTAACCGGCTTGAGGTACCAGGGAGCTTCCTCCCCGGTCTCTCCCTCGAAGAGCCCGAAGATGTAAATGTTCTTGGCCCATGCGATGACCTTGTCAAGCCCTTCTAGCTCATCCACGTCGGCCGCCGCCTGTTGCAGTTGAAACAAAACAAGCAAAACAAGAGGGGGGAGCAAATCGGCGTCAACAGGAACCAAGTTGGAGGCAAAATACGCCAAGAGAGTAACAAGACGCACGGTGAAGCTTCAAGTGGCAGTTGAAGGGAGAGCGACGGACTCAAAAAGCAAGAGCGCAGACGCGTTGGAACGGGAGTGTAGCCGGGAGGGTCGAGGTCCAAAGTTGGTTGGAGAAGCTTCTTCACGAGCGGGAGTTCAACTTTCGTCCGCCGGTTGAACAAGAAAAAAGAAGACGGGAAGACAGAACGCGCGACAAGAAGAAGACAAACAAGACAAACAACCGGAGGGGTAAACGCTGGTTCGCAAGAAGCAAGCCCACGAGTGCGACAACGAACCAATCGTCCCGCGGCCGACTGAACCGGAGCAACAGCGACAATCGCCACGAGAGCCGTCCCAACGGTGCGCCCAAACCTTCACCACATCTCACCACACACGCATACGCCTTCTGCACCGCTGCCGACTTGAAAACAATCTACCTGTACGTACAAAACCACTTGTAATGGAAAAAGCTCCCCGAGCACGACAGCACCAGGCGGCATGATACTTTGTTCTGAAGGCAGCGTGAACTGGCAGGAGACAGACAGCCTACAGCAGTCCCAAAACATTGCTTTCTAAACGGTAAAAAAAAAAAAAAAAACGAAAAGAGCTCACCAACGCCTTCCGCCTGCTCTTGGAGTCGAACGCCTCGGCGATGGTGTCCGGGGTACGGGGGGTGAGCGGGTTCGCGTCGACGAAGGTAGCCGGGTTCATGATGTTGCCCTCGTTCTCCAGGAGCTCGACGTCGAACACCAGGTTAGCGTTCGGGGGAACGATGGGGGTGACGCCCTCGGCACCGTACCCATACCGCGAGGTGCACCTATTTTTTTTTTGTTTTTTTTAGGAAAGAGTACGTTACCCCCTCCTGTGTGACGCTGGGGATGGTTGTAGTTGTACGAAAAAATACACTGAAAAGTGTAGTACACGACTCACCACGAAAAATGGGGGGACTGTCGCCAAAATATATTGGATGAAAATACACACACAGTACATAAAATCGTTGGTCCCATCAATTAGCGCCGAATTCCCTTTCACATACACGTAGCACCGCAACACGCACGCACACGCAAGATCCCTTCGGTTGCTACTATTTTCAGCGGGCAGCAGGTTAGGGCGGTCGATGCTAACCATGTGCACACACAAACACACACCTGCATGTGCGCAACTGTCGGGGTGAGCCACATGACTGGAAGGCGCTTTCGCGATTCCTTTTCCCGCTGATACATGTATGGGTGACGTCCTTTTCATTGACCACCCGGTGAGCACGGCCCATGCCAACGAAAAACATCTTACGCACGCACACACACGTCATGGACTTGAGAAGCGCTTTCGTTCTCAGCCTTCGTGAAACCCATGTTCTTTCACCGGTCAGCCGGTTAGCAAGGCCTCGATGCCCAAAACAAAGACACGCTCTCTCTCACACACGCACTTGATAAGCGCGCGGTCCCCTTTCCGGAGTCCCGCCAGCCCTGTGTCCCAGCCGCTGATCATCGTGCCGTCCTCCAGGGTGGTGAGGTACTCGTCTCCCTTAGAGAACACCTGCGCGAGCCATAGGACGCCGTCGCAGAGGCAGCAGCAGCAGCAGCAGCAGAGGTGTGGGGCTGAGAATAGCAATTGGGAGGGTTCACGTGAACTTGACAGCGGGGATCCACGGGACTCCTGTGTGTGTGTCTTCCAACCCTTACCTGCCTTTTCTTCATGGGTGGTGTTTCGTCCCCGCTCTCTGTGTGTGCGTGCTTAGTTTTATACCATTTGGCATCGACCGTGACCAATGAAGTGTATATGTGCGTCTGGTCTGTCTGCCTGTCTGCATATCTCTCTCTCTCCGTGTCTCTTTACTTCTCTCTCTCCGCCGCTGTCCATGTACCTTCCCACACCCAGATAACCCCACCAAAATCAGCACATGTCCGTTCGGTCGCAGCATCGCCCAACAGCCCCAACACCAATCCGGCACACATGCACACTCACTCACGCCAAAAGGCATAAACACACACCATACGGGACACATGCTATAAAACAGGTAAACCAACACAATAACAACAAAAAAAACTGGTGTAAATGACGACTTTTTACTACCTGAGGCTGCTACCATCTGTCACAAGCAGGGCAGATATTAAAACGTTCGTAAAAAGCTACACATGTACTAGCCCGCCGCACAGCGGCGCGACTGCTCTTCGAATATGACCATTCCCCCCCCCCCCCCCCCCCCCCCCCG